TTTTTTTTTTTTTCCTGCATCTACCAACTTGATTTGGTAAATTGTTTTTTTAATTATTTTTTCTTTTTAGGTTCGAAATGAGAAGGCTAGAAGGTATCTTACTAGCATGAGAAAGAAGCAGCCTATTCCGTTTTCTCAGAAATTTACCAATGCTGATCCTTTGGCCCTTCGACTCATGGAGAAGCTGCTTGCTTTCGATCCAAAGGACCGTCCAACTGCTGAGGAGGTTTGTTATGGCCTTGTTTCTTGTAAAACTTCTATTATACTGGAGGCCCTTGAAAAGTTTAAGAGTTTCATTAGATCACTTTTTATTCTACGTTAGCGGGCTTTCCCTTTCTCTAATATAAAATATATAGAAATCATTAAAAGCCATTCTTTTTGCTTTGTTTTGTTCTGTTTGTTCATAGTATGGAACTGATGTGTTCACTGTGGTTTCCATTTCTTTGTTCATTTTCTCCGTTTTCAGGCACTCGCTCATCCGTACTTTAAAGGACTAGCGAAAGTCGAGAGAGAACCTTCACGCCAGCCAATTTCAAAGATGGAATTTGAATTTGAAAGGCGAAGAGTGACCAAGGAAGATGTTCGTGAGTTAATATTTCGTGAGATACTAGAGTATCATCCTCAGCTGCTTAAGGATTACATCAATGGAGTTGAGAGAGCTAATTTTCTCTATCCCAGGTGATGATCTACTTTTTCCTAATGAGATTATGTGTACACACACACACATTATATAAATCATGGAATATATCTGTTTTGCAGTGCCATTGATCAGTTCAAAAATCAATTTGCTCATTTAGAAGAAAATGGTGGTAAAGGTGGAACGTCGATTCCACTGGAAAGAAAGCATGCTTCCCTTCCTAGGTATACACAAACCACAGCTGAATCTCTATATATATGTGAATGTGTGTAGATACGAATTGGTATAAAATACTCTTAGCAATCAAGTTTGATGCCATAACAAGAACTCAATGTGCAGGTCCACCATTGTACATTCCAATACGATACCACTAAAAGAGCAGACAACTATTGCAATTGCAAAAGATAAGCAGAATTGTGAGCAAGCGTTCTGCAGAAACTCGAGAGGTTTTGACGGGCCTCATGATAGTTTATCGAGGAACTTGCAGCCACAGCAGAGGATTACACATGGTACTTTACTGATCACCTCTTTCACTAGGAATAGTGAAAAAAAAAATTGATTAATTTTTTTTTTTTTAAAAAAAGAGAAATTTTACAACTTTTTTACAGCCATCTTATTTATATATTAACAAAAATTATCCTGTAAAGTTACTTTCCCATCTTATGCTCTGTCAGCTAAACCGGGCAAAGCTGTCAGGCCCATCCCTCCGTACGAGAACAACATTGTATCACCCCAAATTTATAACCCGTTGCCTTACGGCTACCAAAGAAATCAGGGCCCCGTAAAAGCTGCACCAAAGCTAGATAATGACATAGCCATAAACATAGACAGTACCAATCCATTTTACGAGGCCCAACCCGGGCCCACTAAGGTGGTGGACCGCACGGATGAAAGAGTGGTAATGATTGACACGAATATGCTGCAGTCGAGAGCCCAATCCATTGGTGTTGCACATAGGAAAGTAGGTGCTTTGCAATATGGTATGGCAAGAATGTATTAGCCCTTTAGGGTGTATTGATATGGTGTGTGTGTGTGTGTATTTGTGTGTGGGTGTGTGAGAGAGAGAGAGAGAGAGAGAGAGAGAGAGAGAGAGAGAGGAAAAATGTTGCTGTGGGAATTTAGGGTATGGGTATAATTTTATTTTTTTAAGTTTTAACCGAGCCGAAGGAAAAATGTTGTACACAGGAAAGTTGGGGAACTTTTTCTTGTTATCTATACTATATTAAAAGAGCCTATGAATCTGTAAAAAATTGTTTTGCCTAAATTACCCTTATTTTGTCAAACTAATTTTATAATTAAATATTAGTAATTTAATATTAATAATACATCAACCCTAATCCTAATTAATTTCTAAACACAACGAAATTTCTGTTCCAAAAAAATTCTTCCTTCGCAAATCGATCCACTTTTATTTACTGTGGGTGGTGAAGAAGACAATTATCAAATGAATGAGACCTCACTACAATCCCCAAACGCATAGCAAACGCTACATCATTCTTTGAGCAGATACCATAAGAAAAGGTCAGGCTTAATAAAAAAATGCAAGTATTACGATGGAAACCCCTGTGTGGATTTCTCATTGTGCAAGGTATTAATTATGATATATAAAATTTATATATAAATTTTATCGAAGGTCAGCCTTTTATTTTATTTCCATTCCGTAAATTTGTGGGTTCAAATTATATAGCGGGCACGACTACAGTGCTGTCGGTACCATTCGGTTGTTTTGTTTTTTCCCCGGGTCCATTATTTTTTTTAATGGATTTGTGATGTGATCAATGTTGGGGTCTTGATTATCGATTTTCTTCTTTTAATTCTTGAATGTTGGGATATGTAATGCTTGAATGCTTTGCAGATTTTGATCTAAGTTTTTGTATTGTTTTTTTGTTTTCTTAGTCAGTGTGATTATTTATAGTTTTTGGGTTGTGATGATTATGCCGTGTTGTTAATTTGCGTTTTGGTCGTTCTGATGTCTGCAGCTAGCAATTTGGATTCTGTGTAAGTTTTGCATCATTGCTGTCACAGAAAAAAAAAATGTTTCATTTCCTGTTCTATCTTCTCTCTTTGTGGATATGGTTGCTTGGTTATGAGCATTTCTATTTGATGTTATTGTTCTTCAAATTAGGTATAATAAAATATTTTATTAAGAAGTGCTATAAATTATTTCTTGTTGTTCTTCATCTGTTTAATAAGAACATACACGTTTGGTTATGAGCATTTCTATTTGATGTTATTGTTCTGTCCATTATTTTCTACATCTTGGTTGTCGGATTATCGAATTGTTAAATCTCAAAGTGTTTGGTATTGAACAAGAATAATATATTTCATTCATCGTGATTGATATGTAGCATCTTTATTTTAGTTCTTTAGAATCGATAAAATCTCAGTTGTCTATTTCCCGAATTCGTTTTCTTCTTCTCACTTCATGTTTATTTGAACTTACTTTTCCTAATTCGTTTTTTATGCTAGATTTTTTAGTAGTGTTTGCTATGGGTTTGTAGTTTTTCTCCCTCCTATTCATTATAAAGGTCGTTTTGACTTTTTTTATTCATCCATTTTGTTATGTATCCAGACATTAATATCTGAACATGAGGTAGTACAAGATATAAGCTGAATAATATGTTTTTTTCCAAGGTGTTCTATTTAAAGCATTACTACAAGAATGTATCAGTATTTTCACATAATATCATAACCAAACTGAAATGCAATTACCCCTGTCTTCTCGTCAAAGCCTGAAAACAAAGTCTCGGATAACTGATCTCCTAGACCAAATACAGTGTATCCGTATTTTTCACATAATATCAGAACCAAACTGAAATGCAATTTTCCCTGTCTTCTCGTCAAAGCCTGAAAACAAAGTCTCGGATAACTGATCTCCTAGACCAAATACAGTTCACATACTCGAAGATAAAATATAGCAATAAAATTATTCCGTTAATTCATAAATGAAGAAACAAAAACATTTTTACTATAGATAAATGTCTTTCATACTTCATCAGTGACATCAATCAGATTCCCTCTCCGGATAATTTGTGTTTGTGGTGAGAAGAATGTAACTTTGGTCGATATTTATATATAGAGGATAAGAATAAAGTAGTCTTAATCAAAGCAAACGAGTCCATAATCCGTTGTCTGTGAATACGTTAAATGTAACACCCCGAGTTTTATTAATAAAGGAAATACTAGCTTTTAGTTTTAAGC